ACTAATAACTTTGAAGTACATGAAAGTTATTCGTCTAAAATAATTATTGCGAAGAGAATGTAAGAAATATTTTCCAAAAATAAAATTTAAAATTTAATTGACTTTAATTACATGCAGTATCGTACGTTTTCCCCCGTTATTACAAATGTAGGGCTAAAATCAGAGTAAAAATAATCAGAGAATTCTACAATTTCTTGTAAATCTCCTGTGAATTCCCGAAATATTTCCCCGATAGATATATCTTTTCCCTGAAGAGCTTACATCTGTTCAAGACTAACAATAAGAATATATATGTGCAGTCTGCGAATACTGTTGGCTTATGGCTTATGCTACTATATAGAAAGAAACGAGAATATCCGGTTTCTCGGTAGGCAACAAGATATGCAAGCCTAAAAAGCTGCGCGAACCGGTCTATTGATTTTTGTCTGCCAAGTTAATAAAAAAGAAATAATAATAATAATAATAAGAAATTTTAAAATAAAATAATGCGATTGGTTAAGAAGTCTTCACTTACTCTGTCCTTCATAATTGCCGCGAAAAAAAATTGTGCAATTTCTATTTAATCGATATACTTATCGGTATGCATCTGAGAAAAAGAAGATAAGAATTATCAAGGTATTGATGTATTAGCATAATCGTATTTACATATCATTGTAATCGCGAAAATGAAAGAATAATGATAGAAGAAAATGATAGAAAATGCGAGATAAACTAATCCGCATCAACATGATATATTGTTGGATATCAAGAAGCGGAATCTACGACGTAATTTTTTTTGTTTCGAGATATAACACTAATACCTATACATAATATATTGAATAAGCGGTATTTGTATCGACGTGCTCTCTTGAATTACATCTGCGCCATACGGGCAAGTTAACGTCACGATAATTATGATTAATTAACTCGTTGCGTCGCTAAAACATCGCATTCGTGAAGCAAATAGAATACAGGTAATGATAAGTCATCTTGTTAAATGTTTTCAATCAATCAAGATAATCCAAAGTTGAAACTAGAGTGAGAGAAGCAAATGAGACTAATATTCTATCAAGTGTCAATTCATTTTTTGTCGATTACCCCTTATAGAAAAATACTGTAATCACTGAAGGCTCAATAATTCAAACGCTAGACATTTTTGTATATCAGCCATTTAAGTATTCGAAATAAGTGATTAATTGAACTTACTATAGTGATAAATTTTCATAAGGGTAATCTAATAGATTTTTTCAGAATATTTCTCTTACATTTTACACATATGGCATTGTAAAATATAATCTTTAAATATAGTTCAAGATAAACATTGGCATAGCAAAAATGTTTGATAGAGGCTACTATCTTTCCCCTTCTATATTTTCTCATTCAATATAAAAAATACGCGTTAACATTTTGTTAAAATCAAATCAATTTAAAATTAAATTGCAAATGAAAGTTTGATATTATCTCGTCTGCAAATAAAGCTAAATTATAAAATAACGAAATGCACATTTTCAATCATTCGTATTTCAAAGAGAGAACCTTGACATAATCTTTGCAAGCTCATACAATTTCTGAGTATTGTGAATAAGAGCTACTTTGAATTACTTTATTCTTAATTACTTTCTAGTTCATTTTATCTCCCCGACGATACCGGAAATTCAAGAATGTAAATAACATTTCACGTGACGTTTGACCCCCGAATACGATCGACATGTGTGTTCCTCGTTAAAACGAAAGTTGTTGAATCTTAATTTTTCAAGGTCAGCTGATATACGTTCGATAGAATCTTGACTTCTATCAGGGTGTACGTGTCGAGAAAGCAGGAGACGAGAGATGATACAGGTCGAACACGTGCAAAGGTGAATGTATGCCTCAGCAATCGCAGAATTGTCTACTATGCTTATAATCAGCTATATATGATTATCTTCTGGTATTTGGTGCGCAGACATAATTTTTGCTTTGCGAAACTTTATGCTAGCCTTGGTCTCTTGCATACACGTACGTCTCGGTAGCGTAAGCGAGAATTACAAGTGATATTCCTTCGACACGTGTTCAAGATAATACGATCAAAATAATCTCGGTTTACAAGGTATCGCATAAATAGCTACGCAATACTACACGGTAAATCACACGGGTAAACAAGAAAAGAAATAACAGAATAAAAAAGAATAAATGAAATATAATTTAAACAAAATGACGATGTAAGAAATTTTTCTGTGAAAGATTAATGTATCGAAAAATTCATTGACGTATGCACTGTATTCAATGTGGATTAAAAAAGGTGCGATTATTGCATAAATGTGCGATAAAAACAATTGCAATGCTAATGACGTGATTTATAATCATCATTTAAGACTAATTTCAAAGTTTGCTATAAGTTTAAATTAATTGTGCATTTACATCACTAAATGCAAAATATGTGTGTCGGTATCATTAAAATTAATGATCATTAACTTAAGAATGTTAAAAAATTAATTAGAATGTGTAACTACAATATATAACGTAGTATACAACAATATTCTTTGAAGAAATAGCGAACCAGGAAGATTTTATACCTCTGCGACAAAATATATGATTCTGTTGAAAATATTTTTCTGAAAAATATGCTGATCGAACATAACAAAATTTGATTATTACAATATATAAATAAATAAATATAAATATTTTTGTGTTATTATCAAAAAGGAGTAACGTTATGCTCCGAAGTTTTGCAGATTTCATTAATTGATTTCATCAATGTTAAAAATGCCCATGACATAAATTTAGCAATACTAAGATGATGAATATTTTGTGAAAATTTTAAAATAAGAAATTTTTAAAACGCATCAAAAAGCGAAATAATTTATGATTTCTTGATATACTTCTTATATAAAAAATAACAGTTCTATATAATTCCGATAAATAATGTGATATTTTAATATAATATAATATAATATTTTTATTTTTTGCGTGCTTTTATGTATTTATATGTGTGTTATGTATCGTATATGTCACCGTTCAGTGATCAATTATAATATTTAAAAAGATAATGTACTTATCGAAAAAAATAATTGTAAAAACGACAAAGGAGATATCAACACAATTATGATTAATGCATCTATTTAATTATAGAATATTATTAGTTTGCACATTATTAGTTTTATTAATAAATTAGACGTATAATTATAGCATATCTAAAAATCCTTTCTTATGCATTATCAATAGTCATTCTATTGGTCTTCTCATAATTTATGAGCGATAACGAATATTTACAGAGTGAGATTAAAGTAATTTTAGAAATTGGCCCCGCGCAATCTGCTGCAACGGGCTAACAATATTATTGAACCAAACATGGTTGCAAATACAAGTGCACCACATCTTTGCAACTTTCAGTATAATGTAATGTTGCAACAATCGCCTATCATAAATTGAGCACTTAAAAATCGCTCAAATTTTTATCAAAGACAGTCATAACATGACATTTTATCAAGAATATCGAGCGAATTTTTTGCATGTATTATCTCCGTCATGCGTGAAAATATTATCTGTTACTATTCCGCATGCTGCTAAAGAATGTTATTTGATAATTTTATTTTTGCGTAATTTTATTTTTGCGACAAATATTTATATTATATATTAAATGAAAATGAGTGATATTTCTCTTAAAACTTAATCTAATTTTTTTTAGCAAAAGTATTATTATTTTCCACTTAATTTTATTTTTCACGTAGTTTTATCATAAAGTTAAATGGAAAAGAATACTTTTGTTGAAGACTATATTTTAATAATTCTAACATAAAATTTAACATGAAATAAAGTTAAATAGAAAAGAATATTTTTGTTAAAGAATATCTTAATAAATTCTAACATTAAATTTTCTATTGAGAAAAATCAGAAACAATTAAATAAAATTTAAATGAAATAAAATAAAAATTTTTAAAAATTCAATTAAACAAATTAATTCCAAATTAAACGATCAAAATTTTTATATATTTTAATCGATTTATTTGGAATTAATTTGTTTAATTTTGATTTAATATTTCTAATTTTCAATTTTTATTTTATTTAAATTTTATTTAATTGTTTCTGTTCTTTTATATTTATATGTACACACTCGGAGAAATATCACTTTTAAATATAAACACGTGATTTAATTCGATAAATACCATTGTGCAATAAATTTTTGTAAAAATTTAAGATTATTTGAAATGGTTTTTTTATTACATTGCGATTTATATTATTAAACCGAAGAAAATAAGCGAACAAATTTAAATCAACAAGAAGAGCGATCTGCGTTTTTATAAGCAAACTTTATCACGGAAAATCGATCATAACTGACGCCTGAAGTTTTTTCTCGCATCTGTGATATATCATATGCCAATGACTTTTTTTCGATTGAAAATGTTCGCGATAAAAATCATCGCAATGATGATAAAAATCGTTCTCGCGAGTAGAAATTTGCAAGGTCGTATTACGTGTACTCGTACATCAAATGTTTTTTTTCTTGCCGCTATAATTTAAAAGTGTTGTTGCAAGTGCACATATACAATGATTTTATCATTAAATAGTGATATCGTTTAACATATATAGTACACGGTACTTGTCGCGGTTCACTTTAGCATTATATACAAAGAGACGAGCAAACTCGTTTTCTTTTTTTCAATCGTGGGATATCGCTATCTCTTTCTTCCTGTCTCTTTCTCTCTTTCTCTCTCTTATTTCTCAATTAATAAACGAGTCATCTGCACACGCGAAGCACTGAAAATGATGATAGAGTTGAGTTATTTTTACAATATTGTAACAAAAACTGAAAGAAAACGCAGTTTATCCTAGACAGTAATTTCTGACTATTTTTGTAACATTTATTATACTTCCGTACGGTTATCGAACATATATATACACAAACATATTTTCTTTGATCTCATACGAAATTCTTACTCTAATTCATTTGCAGCACTTCCTGTGTATTACGCGATAACTATAATAAAAATTTTTTAAAATTAAATGTTTGTAAATAATAAATATGTTTATAATTAATAACTCACCATATTTACATATAGCTGATTGTCAGTCGTCGCTCTGGATTATTCAAATGAGTCTCTGGAAAATCTTTCGATGATTGATGTACTTTGTCCGATTTCACACTTATCGATTCTAAACAGCACTTCCGGTACGATTTCTCCGCGGTTTTGCTGCAATTTTAAGATATGCATTATAAAGTTGCGATGCAAAACTTTCTTCGTGCGAAGAAGTTGAACTTGATTCTTTTTCAAGAATAAATTATATAGTTTTAAAAAGCATATACCCCTATAGTTAACGAGTGGACGAGATGCTAAGTGGACAGAAATGATGCATTATGGGATGGTTCTCTCTCCTTCTCTCATTTCCATCTATTCGCATCTCGTTCACTCGCGTTAACTGGATGCACTCATTCTTTCTTTCTAAAGACGCTATGTTCACGTTAAAGAAAGTGAAAAATTTTGCTACCTTTGTCTATCGCGATGCGTTGGGAAAACTTTTACGAGAAATAATAGAAAACATCAAAGAATCTTCATAGTTATCAAATACTCCAACGTTATTGTAATATTCTCGAGACAAATGTAGACTATTATCGAAATTAATTAAAGAAATAATCGAAATTATCTCACCTCCGATCTCATATACCTTCGTCACGTATCTCCATATTCGCCGGAAAAGGGCGCTACCTATGGGAAATTTTTCAAACTGATTTCGCGCGCTAGAAGACACTTGAAGTGCGTTCAAAATCTGCCTGACGTTTGACAATCCGTGTCGGCCAATCAGACGCGTCGCGCCCTTCGTTTCGATTGGTCGATCGCACGTTCTCCTGTGCCGGATGACGTAATTTCGAACGCGACTTCGAGAGGAACAAACTTCGAGATTGGCAGCAGTGCGTGAAAATTAAACTGATACCGGTTTGAAAATCGGCGATCGAGTGTTGTTATTTTGCTCAGCTGTGTGCGAATTTTGTACGAGAAAACCGGAGACATGGAGAAGAATTCGTACGCATCCTTCTCGGATTATTTCGACAAATTGAGGCACAAGACGCGCGAAATCGACAAGGGCATCGAGCAGCTCAGCGAGACCTGGAAGATGCCCCAACTCCTGATGGGAGGCTACGCGGAGCGGACCGTTGAGGTGGATGCGTGCCTGGACGAATTGTCTACCCAGGATATTAACGTGCGAAAATTATTATTCAATATTATTTCAGAAATGCCGGCAATTTTTTTCTATATAAAAATAAACAAATAAATCATTTTCAACTTAGCAAGTTATATTATTATTATATTTAAAAAATATAATATATATGTAGGACGTTTTATTTTGTGTATTATTTTATCGTTAATGTTATGTATTATGAATAAATCTCGAGCATAATTTTATATTAATTATGTAATTAATTATGGTAGGATAAAATAAAGGAATTTCCATCAGAAGTGAACTCGTCACTAGATGACATGGATCAGTTTTTAAATGATTCAGAAAAGATATATCTAGATTTGAAGGAGCAGTGTGACAATTTGGATATTGTTCTAGCAGAGTTTGGCTATTATTATAAAGAGAATGACAGTATGCAAGAAAAACATTGTCGGTAATATATGACAACTTCTATTTTATTATTATGAGAATTATTAAGAAGATATTTTCCTAAAAGAAATTTTATACTTGTCATTTTGTGTGCATTATATATATATATATATTAAAGAAATAATTTTTCTCTTTTTAGAGATGATAGTAAAGATAGCACAAATGACAGTATTTTAAGACCTGAAACTGAAGGTGTGTCCGATTTGGAAATTGAATTTACACCATTCCTTACATGGAGATGCAAGGCTAAGTCCAAGGAAAATTAGATATTTCCAGCATGATCTATGAAGAACAGGATTCCTCTAGTTTAGTTTCTGCTGAAATAAATATCCGATTCACTATCAATGCAACTTCATGTAAAAAGTTCATTTATAAGTTAGATACAATTTTATAAAAAACAAATTTGAAACATCTTACAAAAATATTTTGAGAAGATAGATTTTATTTCAATATTTCTTCTCTGTTTTCATTCAGTAGAATATTTAGATTAAAAACAATATTAGTCTACTTTTGAAAAATTTTTATATAAAACACATAGACCAGATTTTTTTTATATATTTTTGTTAATGAATGTATAAATAAAGTATATAATTAGGGTGTTATAAATATTGTATTATATAATTATAAGGTAATAAAAAGGGTGAAATTAATTTTTTTAATTATCTTTAAAATATGTATATACTTTTATAAGGAAAAATATAACTAGAGTTTTATCACAAAATAAAAAAGAAATTGTTAAGATGATATATCTTTAATATGAAAGTTAATTATATATATTATATTATATATATGAACTTAATTTAGAGTCTAGAGTTATATACATGAACTTAACCTAGTTCAAGTTAAGTTTTTACTGTTTCTAACCTTAAAACTATAAAAAGATGCATTGTTGAATGCTCTGTTATTTAACATATAAATTAAAGGAATTATTAATTACTGATTTTAAGTGGAATAATAGATAAATTGATTACGTGATGGGTAAGTAAATTTTATTGAATCTTATTTAAATATGCATACATTATGAATTTATAGTTGAAAAACTTTGCAGGAAATAAGACCAAACTTTGTCAGCACAAAGATATTTTTGAACGTATGAATTATTTATATCAGGTATGTATATGACTATAAAATTATTATCCTTTAATAATTTTGACTTAATAAAATTATCTAAAAATATATTAATGTTGCTATTATCATTAAAAATTTCATCACAGGCTAGTTATCTAATGGCATTAGTAGACAAATGTACAGCATCATACCTTGGTAATAACATGGTGGGTTGTGCCAAAAAAGCAGTATTACGCATGTAAGTCTACATATCAGATATCTCTGTGTGAAGATAATTATATATATATAATTTCTTGTATTAATGAGAATTATTGGTTTTTCTAGGGAACCAAATTTAAAGAGAAGCATATGTAAATGTTGTCAAACTCCACTTATACCTGGGGAGACAGCTAGAGTCAGATTAATATCAAAACCTATAAAAAAGGTCAAATGGAAATGTCTAACTTGTATGAATACTAAACGATTTCCTGTGTGTAATGGATATAAATTGTGGCCTAATCAACCGGAAGCAATAATTGAGACATTAGATTATACACCAAAATCAATGAATGAAAATATTAAGAAATCTGATGTCCCAGAGAAAATAGAGGAGAAAGAAGTAATTGTTAAAAATGTAGAAATTGAGAATCTCTCTGAAGCAACAAATCCATCGTTAACTTAACATCTCTGATGTACGAATATTTTTTATTAATGACTTACATAAAATATGTTACAATATTACAATAAATTTGTAATTAATAAACAGATATTTTTGCTAACTGGAATATTCATAACCATCTAGTAATATCATGATACCGATAATAGTTTTACATTAATGTATTCTTAGAAATAACTCGTAAGTTAAGTTACTGTTATCGAGTACGTAGTTGCGATACGTTTTTACGGCAAGCGACGTCCGCAGAGAATTCTCGAGGGTCACAATATGTCTTCTTAGCCGAGGACGGTTTATAGAGATGCTATTAAAGTGTAAATTTGACAATTTCTCGAAGGCAAGATATTGTTTCGCCGTAATGACAATGGAATTCGCTGCAAACGTCATTACTTCATCCAACTATGATATGACTATGTCCGCCCATCGCCAGTGACTCGTGCAAAACCATTACGAGTTAATAAATCATTGCACTCATACTCGGGCGCGATCAAATCACAGTTTAATCGGGAAGAAAAAATATCAGTCGTTTACAACAAAACACATACTATACATATCTTAAATAAATACGCTAAATACTATATAACTTAAAAATTGTATGCACTATAATCTTAATTATGTCCTATTGTGCGCTTAGCAACAATGGCTCGATTACTTGATTGACCGGATACAACAACTGCATCGGAGATGCGAAAAATGTGGCAGTGATCGTTGTAAAACGTACAATTTGCGTTTATACACGATTGGAACGCATGCACGTAACTTCGAAAACTTATAAATATTAAACTAATGAGGAAAGTAATACGAAAACTGGGCTGGACGGAATCTACACATTCACTTATATACATATATCTGTCGTGCCAAGCTTCGGTCGAGTTATCTCAGTGCCTATTTTATCCCTAGCTTATATTCCTTCTTCTCACTTTTTCTTTTTTTTTTTTTTTGTTTTTCTTTTTGATTCTCCTAAAAAGTAGGTCTAACGATAAAATCAGACGGGACCCCAGGTTGGCAACGCACACATATATACATGCACACACCAGCTACAGGGATTAATTACTCCAGTAATATTGACTTGTGTCGTTCGTCGTCACTCTTCATCTTAAGTTCTTCGCAAGCTCTTGCGGAAGAGTTCAAACTGAAAATGGCAAAATGGTCACGTAAGTGAGAGGGAAGGAAAGAGGGCAGATCTCGCGAATGTCGTGTCGAATGTCTCTTCTCTACACGCGTCTACTCGCAGGACAAACCCGACCAATATTTAACTCGGTTATTGTCAAAGAGGTGTGTGCATGCGAGTCGCCCGAGGAGTACGCTCCGAAGAGTGCGCGTGCAATGAACAAGAGCCGCGGATAAAGAGGTACAACGTACGGCGACGGAGCTTATTTAAAGATAGAAAGTGGAAGGAAGAGGGATGGCAAGGGAGGGCTGAAAATGCCCGCGTAGTCAAGAGTCAGTTTATACTAGTCCCGAAACGAATTGGGGCTGGCCATCGCGATCGAGCGTCAATTGCGGCATCACGTTCGGAGAGGGCTGGAAGGTTGATCCTTGAAAACCCATTGCCGATTCGTATAACTAAAGCGCAAAATAAAACAACTTATGTAGAAATGATATCTTACAGGATTTTATAATTTACAATTTATAGGCTAGTCACACTGGCAGTCATCAATCTTACTTGTCTGTTTCATGTGCATACTGTTTTTTGAAATACTAATTGCGAATAGAACAAATGTCAATTTTTGTTTTTATAATATATATTTTCTTTCTACTGTTTCCAAGTTATGCAATTGATATAGATTATCATAATTTGCAGAATATTTCCATCATATTTCCTAACAGAATACATCCAGAGGACATTCAGAAGATATTTTACATTCTCTGACTGTCTTTCGGACATGCTGTTAGGAATCGTCAAAATTGTATGATTTAAAAATTATACGATAAGAAGAGAAGAGACTCTACTAATCAGAGTTAATCGAGTCTGTCAGTGTAACGAGGCCTCGCAGTTACAGCATTACTCATTTATTTGGCGTACATTATGATTTCCTGGAAGCGTGGTATAATCCGGCGTGGTCGGACGATGCCTATTTGTAGGCAACGGATGTTGTATAGTGGCATAAGTGTTATCTTGAGACGTGTCCCCCATACCGACGCTTACACCACTGCCGCGTCTCTCGCCACCGAGACCGCCTTCGGGTTCACTAAACACTTGCATCGTTAACTCTTGCTCTTCGTAGAGTTTCAGTTTTCTGCAATCAGAAATATTTCGTCGTATATCACGCGGTAAAACTCTTGCAAAGTTGATAAAATAACACTTACTGCTCGATCCACAAAGGATTCTCCGTCGTGTTTAGTTCGTCGATGATCTGTTTTTTAATTAGGCCGTCTTTCTTACGTATATCATTTGGCACAGTTATTACCCTAAAATATCGGATGTAGATATATTAGAAAAGAATAAGACTCTATCTTTTTTTTAATATTTAGATATTATTCTTACCAATGGCGTAAGCAGCAACAAACTACTGTAACAGTGACTGCTCCTACGAGCAAAACAACTAAGAGAGCTATTAGAGCAGCGAGTGCAGGATCGAAAGGTTCTTCTTGAACTCCAGCGTATGCCGGCTGAAATAAAAATAAATTAAGCGCCTATTTATCAATATATTTGAATAATTATACGAAGTAATTTTATTTTACTTCTTATTGTAAAATAATTTCATTCAGTTTGCAAGTAATTATATTAGATTATAATCGTATTATAATATTAAATATTATATTACTATTTAAAATTTAATACTCACCACAACATTTTCAATAGCAAATCCGGTATAATAATGCTTCAAGAAATCGTATTTCGCATCGATAACCTTGAGTACGTGAGGGATTGGTGCGATGGTTTGAGTTTTTGGTTCGACAACGTGCAAATACATGTCACACCTATCAAAAAAGATAGAGATTAATGCAATATTTCTTACTAAAATTCTTAATTTTCTAAATCAGTAGATTAAGATATGAGAGAAAGCATGAGTGAAAGTACAAGTTATATTTATATTTTATACATCATTACCATTCTCTGCGAATATGTCCGGAAGCGTCAACGTGATATCTAATGTCGTCTACTACGACTCTACTTTGTGTGGCATTGGATAATTCCGAAACAATCTCGTCGCGTTCACTATTGACCTCCTCCGGAGGTCGAGACAGTATAACTCGTATTAACTGAGACGGTTCGAACACCCATACCTGGAGAAAAAATATTAATGGAAAAATTGCAAAGTAGACGAAAAGAAATATCTCATTAATATTTCATTAAATTAAACATTAAATTGATTTATAGAATGAAAAAAATTTACACCGGGAAAACTTACGTGAACTCTGGTCATCGCGAATCTTTCTGGAATTGCCGTTTCTTTAGCGATGACTTCGACAATAAACCTATCTTGATTGTATTCCGCCATATATCCGCTCGTGACGAGTTTGCCATCCTGAGTGACGTTGAACGGGCTCGGCACTATAGAACCGCTCGGTTTTTCCGAACCGTATTTATAAAGATTCGCGCTAGCAACATAGTAATGAAGAGTGCCATTGTCACCTACGTCCAAGTCGGACGCAGTTACCTTAGTCACGAAGTCGTTTATATTCGCCATGGAATTTACTCCAGCGTAATAATCGATGCGTTCAAAGATGGGCGGATTATCATTTTCATCTAGCACAACTATCGTCACGTTCACGTGTCCGTGCTCCGGATTGTGAGTCAACGGCTTGCCAACTTGTGCGGGATTGATGTAGAGATCGGGGTCATTAGATGCGAGAATAGAGAGGACATACTTGTCCCTCGTCTCGCGATCAAACGATTTATTCGCGTAAATGCTACCATCGGATTTGTCCATATAAAAGGCATAGCCTTCGTTTCCTGTAAAAAGAAATAAACGATACATTTGTAAGGATATGAAACCTTAATTAATAATATATAATTATTTGTTCACAATTGAATTTATTTGTTGAGTACGAACACAAAAATAATATTTTAAACATCCTATATATATTATATAAAGGTATAATTAATCTTTATTTATATATTTTAATAATTTTAATAAATTTATTTATTAAATTATTTTAATATATATTATATATACATATATTTTTTTAATTCTATTTTATATATATGTATATATAAATATGGTTGTTCAAAAAGTTATTGCGTTTTTTTCATTTGATTTTCAGGTGCGTTTATTTAATATACGTAATGAACATTAATCAATAATATATTGGCCGTTTTGTTCAATGACCTTTTGCCATCTCTCGGGCAATTTCATAATACCGCGTTCATAAAACTTCCTATCTTTCTCTGCGAGAAACTTGTCAAGGTGCTGTTTGATGAGGTCTTCAGAAGCAAACGTTTTACCGTTCAAGGAGTTTTGCAAGGAGCGAAATAGATGGAAGTCTGATGGCGCAAGGTCTGGGCTATATGGTGGATGTGGCAACACATCCCAACCAAGCTGCAATAATTTTTGCCGAGTGACCAAACTTGTGTGTGGTCTCGCATCGTCGTGGTGAAACACCACACCCTTACGATTGATCAGCTCGGGACGTTTCTGTGCGATGGCATCACTTAATTTCTGTAGCTGCTCACAGTAGACATCGGAATTGATCGTTTTATTCTGTGGAAGCAGCTCATAGAAGACTGGTCCCTTCCAATCCCACCAGATTAACAGCATCACCTTCTTTTGGTGGATGTCCGCCTTTGCTTGCCTTTCCGGTGCTTCATCTCGCTTACTCCAACTCCTTTTTCGGCTCACATTGTTGTAGACAATCCATTTTTCGTCGCCCGTGATCATACGCTTCAAGAACGGATCGTTTTCTTCGCGTTTGGTGAGTTGATCGCAGACGTTCATACGCTTTGTCAGATGAATTTCTTTCAACTCATGCGGTACCCAAATATCGAGCTTCTTCACGAAACCAAGCGATTTCAAATGTCCATGAACACTTCCAATGGACACTTTTAGAGCGGTAGCAAGCTCCCGAACCGTTGAATGCTTATTTGCTTGCACCAATGCCTTGATTTTATCGTCGTCAATCTCGGAAGGCCTACCGGAGCGATGAGCGTCTTTAACCGAAAAATCACCACCACGGAATCGGGCGAACCAGTTCTGGCACTGACGTTTTTCAATGACATTTCTGCCGTAAACTTGACGCAACTCTTCCCTTGCTTCAGTTGCTTTCTTCCCTTTTTTAAAGTAATAAAGCAAAATATGGCGAATATGCTCTTCAAAATTCTCCATGTTTAAACTACAATTGCAAGCACAAAACTCGACTAAATTGCGTCAACTTTTTTTTTGGTTTTTAGGTTAAGTGTCAACAACAAAATGTGCATAAACATTTGACATTCATGGCACGCTCAGATACAAATAAATGTGGACAGCGCTATCTATTGGAAAAAAACGCAATGACTTTTTGAACAACCCAAAATAAAAAATATATAAATTTATTAAAATTATTACATGTATATAAAGATATTACATTTGTATATTTACCTGCTTCTATATAATAGTAGACTTTGGCATGTCTGCCTTCATCTTTGTCTTCCGCTGTTACTTTCCCGATAAAATAATCTTTCGGTCGATTTTCTGACACATGAAAATTATACTCTTCGTAAAATTGTGGCACGTTATCGTTCGTATCGACTAGCTGAACTGTTAATAGCCGCAATGTCTCGTAAGCTGTAGGACTGCCGTGATCAGCTGCTACAAGAACAAGCTGAAAAAATTTTCACATGAGAATCCCAATCGTTTCGTTCAGAAGAAATGGTTTAACATATTATTTACCTCAAATTTGCTCTTAATTTCACGATCGAGAATGATCTTCGATCGAAGTTCGCCAGTCTCTTGGTCTATAGAGAATTCCTCGGTTTCCTGAACATTTCTATTGCCGACTTTTAAATGATAGCTGACACGACCATTCTCGCCGGGATCTCTGTCAATTGCTTTTACAGTCAATATTAGATAATTCGGAACACCACCTGCATTCTAAAAATTGATATTTCACTTTTTTATAGTACATATTTTATAGAGAGTATACATTTTAATATAATTATATATATATAAATATTATGAAATATGTATAATATGTATATTTTTAAATATATATAAATAATTATATATATGAGTATACTTTTATATTTTAGTTTTAATTTGATTAAAACTCATAAACTTAATTTTATGAAAATAGAAAACATTTTTTAAACATACTTCCGGTACTTCTACAGTCGCGTTTGTCAATTCTGGCATGACAAATTGCGGTTTATGTTGATTTACTGGAGTAACTCTTATGTCAACATAACACCTGTCCGAATGTGGACCATTTCCGGCGCCATCGCGTGCTTCGACCTCGATCCTGTAAGAACCAGCTCTGCCCAGAAGGGCGGCCGCAGGATACAAGATGCCGGTTTCGCGATTTAGCGAAAATGATTCATTTTCATTCCCATTGATGATTGTATACCAGACTTCACCATTCGTTCCTTCGTCTTGATCTACAGCTCGTACCTTAAGAAATAACACAATTACGTGATTAATATATAAATGTTTACCATTTTAAACGCTAAAAATCTCGTTAAAATGAAGAATAGTAAAAGTTAAAAATTGCAAAGAAGATTTGATCCATGGACATTTTCTTTACGGAAAGATTCTAATTTTAAACTTTGTATAAATTTATCACACTTTTGTGTTATATTATATAGAAAATTTCACTATAATTGAAAAAAAATATCATTTTGTATTATAAATTTTTATTTTATAAAGTTACTTAAGTATGGAGTTTTTTTAAAAAATAGGAGAGCTGACTGACAAATATTCTTATTAATAATTACTTAAGTATGTTTAATGCTATTCTAAACATTAGGTTTTAAATAATACCTGCAGAATAGGTGCTGGCGGATTAACAGATAAATTCTCCGCGACGGACGCTCTGTAACTATGTTGCGAGAATATCGGTCTGTTATCATTTTCGTCAATTAATTTGACAATTACTGGTACAGTAGTGCTTCGTCGAGAATTAACATGAGCACTGTCGCTGGCCATCACTGTTATAGTGATTTCTGGCGTCATCTCTCTGTCGAGAACTGTGGCACCACCCACAGTAATCTCTCCGGTTTCGTGTCCTAATAATTACATAAACTCGACTATAAATGTTGATAAAATATTTCATACTTATTGTTAGAACAAGAAAAAAATAATTTGAATTAGTTTTTTGTTCTTACATCATTATAGAATTAATTAATTGATTCTAACTTACCAATGTTAAAGTCAGCTGCGTGTTCGCCAATTAGGCTATAGCTGACATCGCCAAAAAGTCCTTCGTCTCCATCCGTAGCTTTCACGACGATGACACGAGTGCCGGGTGGAGAATTCTCTTTCACTGTTGCGTTATACTGTTCCTTCTCGAATTTCGGATCTTGATCGTTCACATTGATCACGGTAACGGTGACTTTTGCGGTCGCGGAAAGTTGGGGCACTCCGGAATCGTAAGCGACTACCGTGAATTCCAATTGCTTCGTTTCCTCGTAATCGATCACTTGACTAGTTCTTACGATTCCTGTGAATAAAAGCGTCGCAAATGTATTTTTGCATTTCAATAATGAACGATTACTATAGATTAAATATATATGACGACGTTCTCGCTTTAGAATGCATTCGATTTATTCTTTCTTGATGATGACCTCAGCAGGAATCGCTGTCTCATGAATAATTTGATGATTTACTTTTCTATATCGACAGAAAGTCAAGAACATTTCACGTAAATCGATATACCCATCGAAATTCCATCGAGAGCTTTCACAAGATTCCTTTGATATGTCACGAGAGTAAAATGTTACTTTAATAATATGTCAAACCGTTGTAAATTGGTTTTCGACGATGCTTCTCGCGGAAAGCAGGTTTACGTGAGATTGACACGAGGATTTTAGATGTGAGCAACTTACCGGTAATATTATCAATATTGAAGTAAGGGCTCGGTGGATCGATGGCGTATCCCGCTATGTTACTATCAGCGTCCGTTGCTGTGAAAGCTCCCACGACAGCGCCGGTGGGTTGCTCCTCTTGCATCTCTATCAAGTAACGGGGATTTTCTCGGGTCCACGGTTTCAAGAATTCTGGCGCCATGTGGTTCACATCGATGATAGTCACTACTAGTTTGCCTGTTGAAAAACGCGCATTATGCAGGCATGATACAGAATATTTCTCCTTTCCTTGAACATATTTTATTTACCTCGTCCTTGCTGTAATGTGGGCGCCGTGGTGTCGCTTACAACAATCGTAACGCTTACTGTAGCTGCTATGTCACGATCCAGGCTGCGAACGACGGAAACTTGGCCCGTAGCGCGATCGACTGCAAAGAAGTCCTACGAGAAAGAATAGAAGCACGTTAAAAAAGTAATATATATTTTATTTATATATATATATATTATATTAAATACTTATATGTAAAATATTATATATACATATATCTTATTATAATTATATATAATATTAATATAATATTATAAAATATATAATATGTATAATATATGTATTATATAAAAGAGAATATAATCTTTTATAAAAAAATATATACCATATATTTTGAGAATTTTTTATTTCTATTTTCTATGAAAATTTCTACGATAAACTTATTACGTGGATTGAACGACTTTTGAATCGAAGTTAAAACGAAAATATCCGTGGTACCCTGAAAGACTTGCTGTCGTTGACGCGCTGGCCGTTTCTGTCAATAGCGGTGATTGGCTCGGAAATGGCAAAGTTCAAAGCTTCGAGATTCGTGCTGTCCGGATCGGTGGCTTTCAATGTTGTGAAAACGGTGCCAATTGGCGTGTCCTCTGTAACTTCAGCTCGTTGCGTTTCTGGCGTGAAATACGGGGCCTTGTCGTTGCTGTTCTCAACTTCGATCATCAGCGTCGTCGTTCCGGTCAGACTCGGTGTTCCTGAAATAAAAAAGACAAATAAAGTCACGTAAAGAAATAAATTGCAACTATTTCAACAAAATGTTAGTTAATCCCCACAAGATATAAAATTTTATTTCTCAATCATCTTGCTTTATAAAGAAAATTATGAAGCTTTCAAATAATGACAATAATTTTACCTTTATCGAACGCTATGACTTCCACGTGATACGTATTCTTCTCGTCATAATCCAACTTTCGAGATACTGTGACGACGCCTGTGCTCTCGTTGACAGCAAAGTCATCGAAAGCTCCTTTCTGTATTCTGTAGACTAATTCTGCATTAACTCCACTGTCGGCGTCCGTCGCGGTTACCTCCTCTACGACAGTTCCTGTCGAAATCAAATAAATAATTAAGTACATTTAATCCCAATTTTATGCCAATGGTGAAATGCTTCGTGATAGGAACGTAAATCCCTTTAGATTGTAGTAGATGCTTCTAGTGGACACGATTCGGAATCCCGGGAATAGCACGAGATTGCGCACAATTGTTGTTAAGCATAATCCGGGTACTCACCAATCGGCGAAATCTCCGCGATACTGGCCGTATATATATCATGCGGAAACACGGGCGCGTTGTTGTTAACGTCGCGCACGGTGATGTTGACGAGGGCGGAATCGACGAATATACCGTCGCTCGCCTGTATCGTCAGGGCAATCCAGTCGTGGGTGGCGTTGGTCATATCGACCGGACTCCTGACAGTGATCTCGCCAGTGTCCGGATCGACGGCAAACAGCCCCAGCTCATTACCGCCCACCAGGGCATACGTGATTTTCGACGTCTTGTCCTTGTCTCGCGCTTGTACCTTCAATTCGGGCTCGAATTTCTCGGCACCCTCGTCCACCACCGCGCGATATTTGTCCTGCAAGAAACGCGGCGGACTGTCGTTCGCGTCTATCAAGCTGATGCGCAATGAAACGCTCGTCGTTTGACCTTCCCCATTGTCGTCCGTTGCCTAATGAAAAAGGGAAGATTTGTTCAATTGCTACTTGTTTACAACATGTCTGTCAATTTCAATACTGTCAGTATGCAAATTCAATACTATATGCAATATTGAATATCTCTCTAGTTGTGTCTTTTATAACATATTATATTATATAATTATACATTATATTAATTAATATTAAATATGATACATTAATTATGCCTACATTATTATTATACAATTATGTAAATTACAAAACGGGCAACAAGAGCCAAATCGCGGATGACAATGCGTTATCCTAACAAAACTAAATAATTTTTCGTTAGAATTAAATACCGGTGCACAAGGCACCAAATTTTTACTTGGACACGGCCAAGATTTTAAATATGAAATAATCTCATATTTTGAGATTTAATTTCAATACCCCTTTAACCCCCCTACGGAAAATAAATAAATGAATGCAAGAGAAAAATATAGATCCGAAAATCGCTGAATCGGGAATCGAACCCGAGACCTTTCGCTTGCCGGGCGACTGCTCTTCCAGCTGAGCTATTCAGATCCCTTCGATTCTATACTTTTCTCTGTTATATATATTAATGTTGGTAAACAAACGCATTTTTTAAGCCAGCGTGTATCAAATATAAGAGTTTTAACAAGGCTCTGTAATATAAATATAAATTTAACGTATAAGACGGGCAACAAGAGCCAAATCGCGGATGACAATGCGTTGTCAACATTGTCATCCGCGATTTGGCTCTTGTTGCCCGTCTTATACGTTAAATTTATATTTATATTACAGAGCCTTGTTAAAACTCTTATATTTGATACACGCTGGCTTAAAAATGCGTTTGTTTACCAACATTAATATATATAACAGAGAAAAGTATAGAATCGAAGGGATCTGAATAGCTCAGCTGGAAGAGCAGTCGCCCGGCAAGCGAAAGGTCTCGGGTTCGATTCCCGATTCAGCGATTTTCGGATCTATATTTTTCTCTTGCATTCATTTATTTATTTTCCGTAGGGGGGTTAAAGGGGTATTGAAATTAAATCTCAAAATATGAGATTATTTCATATTTAAAATCTTGGCCGTGTCCAAGTAAAAATTTGGTGCCTTGTGCACCGGTATTTAATTCTAACGAAAAATTATTTAGTTTCGTTAGGATAACGCATTGTCATCCGCGATTTGGCTCTTGTTGCCCGTCTTATACGTTAAATTTATATTTATATTACAGAGCCTTGTTAAAACTCTTATATATGTAAATTACCTTATAAGTGAGGAAATATTCCGTCTGTTGTTCGTAATCTAGACATGGCGAGGTACCGGGCGTCGGGCAGGGTGCGACGGTGATGCTGCCGGTCTTCTTGTCGATCGCAAAGTGTTCCGCACCCTGGCCGAGTAATTGATAGACTATGCCAGCAGTACCAAAGCTACGGAACACGGAATCGTGACGTATGAATGAGGTAAGGAAATCGTGCTTTGAAGTCTCGTGGAACAAAGCGCGGCAATTAACAAGCCCTTACCGCCCGCTGTCACGATCCTTCGCCGTGATCGTTATAATTGGGCTTCCTGGAGCCGCCGTCTCGGACACCGAAGCCGTATACGTCGGATTGCTAAAGGAAGGCGCGTTATCGTTTGCATCCGTGATGGAAATTGTTACCGTCGCCGTGGATGAGAGCTTCGGGTTCGTATGAACTTCCTCGGCGACAACCTGGAAATCATAACAATTTTCATTCAGTTGGAGAAATTTCGCATTAAAATCGTAATTGTCAAGGAAAGTTTTTATCTATCGTATTCGCAGTCTTTGCTGCGTGAAATTATTCTTCTTTTGAAAATGATAATAATTCTATTTATCTGGAAAAGACTATTTACAGTAGACTTACCAAAATAATGAATTTTCGTTGATTAGGATTTTCATAGTCGAGGGAGCCGTTCGTAACGCGAATGTTCACAGACGTGCTACCAGTCGCTAGCACCGGCTCCACGGTAAACGCACCTGTTATATCTTCCAGACGTAGAGAGAACACGGAGTTTAAGCCCTTAAAGTGGAAAGCGGTTTTATTCTCCGCCGCGAGCAAAGTAGAATCTCTCTCTCAACCAGAAGAGCGAAATGAGACGTGTGCGCGCAAATAACGAGAAACGCGGTAACGTTTCTACCACGAACGGCCGATCGATACGATGCACTGCAACGGGTGTAATGATAATTTGAATTTTATCGAAGCTTTATAATATATTATGAATTATTTATACTTGACGTTTTCCATTTGCGTTGCCATTAAAGCGGCATTAATTTAATAATGCAGACCGAATTAAATGCGCGCACTGTAAAATAGCGCGATGCCTTTCCGTTCGTCGCCATTGTTGTGGAATATATATGTATATATACGTCGAGAGCTTTACACAGAAACTCGAATACATTAATATGAATGTCGCGTTAACAAGCGTTTTACCATGTACCGGATTTTCTCTTGATTTTTCGACACGGCAATAACTAATGCATTTGCATGGAATCGTCGACGAACGGATACAGCGGCATCACTATTCCAGCAGTCCCATTTCGCTCGACCAGAGGAGTGTACGTGCATCAGGTGACGCTCGACAATTGGTAATGGGGTAAAATCGACGTGCACTCACAACATCCGGATCTTTCACCGTCATGTCCAGATGCGGCAGTGGCGTGCCGTCCGGCACATTTTCTGGGATCTCGATGTTGTACTCGCGCCGATTAAACGTAGGCGGCTCGTCATTCACGTCCTTGATCGTCACGGTCGCCTCGGCCGTCGATACCGTCAGCTTGTCATTCCCGGGCATGCCGTCGATCAGCTCGCGAGCCTTCACGATCAACGTCAACACGCCCGTAGAGTTTTCCAGCGCCTCCCGATCCAGCGGCTTGGCCGTCCTTAACTCGCCTGTGTCGTCGTCCAGCAGAAAATAATCGAACGGGTCTGCAAACGTAGACATCGTCATGTACAAGCTCATTGTAAAAGAAAGTTTGCAATTTTTTATACTTGACATTTTTTTACTATTAATTTATGTTAGATATTTTGAAATTACACATAGAAAATCTCTTAGAATTTACCCTGAAAATCCTAGTGATTCTGGGATAATATGGTGTAGGAAGAATTTTATAAGATTTTCTCTGATTAATATTTACCACAATAAAGATATTTAATATGTGCATAGTAAAATTAATCGAACATATCTTATTGTGGTAGATTCATTATTATTTTTTATTGTAGTAAATATTAATCAGAGAAACTCTTATATAAAACTTTTCTAATACCATATTATCCCATGATGTCATAATACCATATGATCATATTATCATGATACAATATTAATAATAATATTATTATCATCTATATTATTATTATAATAACAGGTTAAATTCTCTTTGAAGATACTTTTTTGAAGAGACTTTTTTGAGCATTGTTGTAATTTTGTAAATCTGCGTTTACATATATGAAATCTGAATTAAAATTTTACTTCAAAATGGGATTATAGTCCTTTACGCGATTTAAACATGAAAAAAAAAAGAGATTAAGACTCACTGGTGACCAATTCGTAGATCATCTTCCGCGGCATACCCCTGTCGCCGTCTCGTGCCTTTACGGTCATCACGAGAGTCCCGATGGGATCGTCCTCGCGTACCACACCTGTTAGCGAATCCAGAAATTCCGGCGGGCTGTTCTGAATATCCGCTACCTTGATCTCCACGCCGGTGGTTCCATTGTTCAGGCCGTCCTGCGGACAAAATTCGCACGTTCGGTTGTCGTTCGTCTTTTCCTGGGATTTTCTTGAGTGCTCAAGCTATCTCAGCTTCTACAAAGTTCAACCTGCTTCGTATTCTCGACTCTTGATTACATCTCTTTCAGTCACATATCTATTTTTGAAAAGATGATTTTTAGCGTGAATATTTTCAATCAAGTACTATCAATTTTATTTAAAATAAATAATTATATATAATAAAGATAATAAATAATTTTATTTATAATAAATAAAAATAACTTGTAATATATTTGTAAAGTGACTTTGCTTTTTGTTATAGATGCGGAGATCTTCCGGGAATATTATCTTCAAACTCTCAAAAATATATTCGTCGCTAATGGAAATTAATACAAGTACGTATAAAAAAATTGTATTTTAAACTTCGCGCCTTTTCTCAAAAGTTTAATTTGCAGAAGTTAGCAACTCTGCTAAATTACATTTCCCTAATATCGAGATGGCAACCCTTGAGAAATTCGCAACTTACTTCAGTTTGTTTATACGTTTCCCGCGTAAACGCCATGACGACGGTCCCCGGAGAGAGTAGAATCCGAGTTTTAGTTGGCGTACATTTCGCCGAAGTATATTCTTTCGTGATAATTTTTCCATCTATCCATTACACAAACCAACGAGACCGAGGAAAGAATGCGGGACTCATTTATTCCCGAGGGAAAACCGAGGTAAGTTTATTTTCAGCGACGATCGAGAATTTCGCGAGTATCCCTAACCGAAAAAAATGGCGAGTTTATTTACCTAAAATAAAAGAGGGGCATAAAAAAAAATTAAACCGTCCTCCCTCTCTCTCTCTCATTTCCGACGATTTATCTCACAATCGTCGAAAAACTCAGTCGTAATAACGCGCGTGTCTGTTTCGCGCCTTTTATTTCATCCTCGCTATCGCGCGCGATGTCAGGCTTCCCTTGCAAGAGGACGATACTTGAGTCGCTTCCGGAGAGAGAACGCGTAATTAAAATCAATCTCCGCTCGCGCGCTCACACGTAAAGAGCTTTCGTCGTCGCACGACGTGTCGCAAGTGACTGTAATTATCTCTTTATACGTGATCTCTCGCACACACGTGAGTATACGAGGCGAGGATGACGTTCCAAGCGCGCGCTTGACGACATTGATTAATTAATCCTTGCCGCTCCGAGTCTCTCTTCTCGCTTAAATAAAAGAAAAATCGCAATTTTTCGCGACTCATCTTTACACGGTTTTTTGGAAAATTATTTACTTCATTTTTAATTAATACTTTTGTCTACAATTTTTCGAACTTTTCGCGTATAGTCTATAATTGAGAAAAAAAATTTTTACTTTTATAAGGTTATAATACTTTGCATATTTTATGTAAAATACATATTTTTTCGTGTTTTATAGTATTATGAAGAATATTAAACTCAACTCGTCTTTACACGTTTCTACAATTATTTGCTTCATTTTTTTTTATTAATACTTTTGTCTACAATTTTTCGAATTTATCGCGCATAGTCTATAATTGAGAAAAAAAAATCTCTACCTTTATAAAGTTATAATTCTTTGCATATTTTATATATTTTATATAAAATACGTATTCTTTCGTGTTTCATACACAGAGAGAATGTGTCGCTTATCGCGTATAGTCTAAATAATTGAGAAAAAATCTATACTTTTTTATAAGGTTATAATACTTTGCATATTTTATATAAAATACGTATTCTTTCGTGTCTCATAGTATTATAAAGACTATTGAATATTAAACTCAACTCGTCTTTGCACGTTTCTAAAATTATTTGCTTAATTTTTAATTAATCTTTTTGTCTTCAATTTTTCGAATTGTTGCTTATCGCGCATAGTCTAAATAATTGAAAAAAATCTCTACTTTTATAAGATTATAATATTTTCTATATTTTATATAAAATACGTATTCTTTCATACACAGAGACAATTTTTTCTTAGAATTTACCCTGAAGATCATGGTAATCGTGGGACAATATGATATTGGAAGAATTTTATAAGAGTTTCTCTGATTAATATTTACCATAATAAAAATATTAATATCTACCATAAAAAATATAAAATATATTTGATTAATTTTATTATGTACATAATAAAATTTACTTGTATACATATTAATATTTTTTATTGCGGTAAATATTAATCAGAAAATCTCTCATATAATTCTTCCCATATCATATATCGTCCCACGATTACCAGGGTATGATTTTCAGGGTAAATTCTAAGAGAAAATTATCTCCCTGTAGAGTTTTCTAAAGAAAATATTCAACTCAAATATATTCATATATAAAATGTGAAAACTCATCCATAAATTGCAATGACTTGCCGCTTTTCTCTAATTTAAATTTGTCTAATATGAAGATTGTGTCAACAAAAAAGCCACGGATCAGATCACATTTAACACTAAATGTGCGCGATGAGAAAGTGCCATTACGTTGCACGTACGCGCTACAGTACTGACAAATATTTACTTGTTTTTCTTCAATTTCGCGTTATATTCCTCAGATAAATTGCGAAGAGAGGAAAATAGCGCGAAATCGATGTATGGCGGGGAAAACTGCATCGATCATACGAGCACGTTTCGCTGTGTAACACCTAAATAAGCTCAATGTTTACCGTTTTATCGCGTGAGAGATTCGTTTTGCGAAAATGCATAGTGAATCACAGTCCACGTTTTTTCATCAGCGCGAGCTCAAACTTTTCCACGTGCGCATGTACACGCGTTTCTATGTATTTTAACACGTATCGGAACGCGATATACGACGTCAACGTGCAGAATCAAAGGGCAACCGAGATAACTAAGGTTTCCGATTTCCACCGATGCCGCACCATCTGCCTTTAATCTGTAACCCTTTGAAGTTATGTAAATTCGATAGTGTTCCTCGTGCTCACGTTCATTTTCAATAATACGAAGCTTTCTCTTCGGAAGCAAAATCGCGCTTCGATTCAACGTGATTAAAGTTTACGCGTGTTTCGAGAAAATTCAGATTAAAAATATCAAGTATCAATGGATAAAATCTATTAATTGTAACGTGATAAATAATAATAAAAAATGCAAATATTTTTCAATTGTCGTTATATATAAAAAATAAAACTATATCTATATATGTTATACTACTTACGCAGCATCCCATTATGAATAGATTTGAGCTAATTACACCTAACGTCATCGTTACATCAAAGACTTTTATATGTATCTCAAATGAAGCAACTGAGAACTATCACAAAATTGAGTCGTCGCATTTAAAAAATCCAAGAATATTTGATGTTACGGGAGATGTGACACATAGATAGTTAGCTTTATTCGGTATGAATTGCAGAAGCCTCTTCTCTCACGCATAATTAATATTGATCTTCTCTCTCTTCACAGATCTACTCACGCTTGCCCGCAGCAGCAGCTGGTAGAAAGGTCTCTCCCGATAGTCGAGGGGTTGTCGCAGGACCAGGGCGCCCACGTACGTATTCTGGCTTCTCTCGACGTTGACGATGCCAAACTTCTCGCACGCGTCCAGGAACTGCAATAAAAGTCGATCGTTAAATGCCAGTTCGACAGCGAACGATCCAACGGTATACTTCACATTCGAGAACATTTGGTGTTTGTGGAATGTTCATTAACAAACATTTATCCTTGATTAATCAATTTATCATTCAGATAATAAAAATTAAATATTAAAAATAGTTAAAAAATTAAATAAAAAGTTAATTAATATTTAACGTAATTATTTCTTTTTTTAATATTAATTATTTTCGACACTGTTTTATAATTTGTTTATATTTGTATTTTACAGATCAAACATGTGCACTACAACTACGCTGCTGTACATAATAGTACGGTGAGTTTTAATTTATTTCTTTAATTTAATGGGCTAATTTTTTACAAAAAATATTTTTTTTAAATAACGATATATAATAGTTAGTAATAATAATTAAATAATAATTTATAAATTTGATTTATTGCAGAGTGCTGAGCGAATAGTTTCCGTCGAAATAATAATAAAATGCGCGTTGTATGCAAATAATCTACGTCGGGAGTGCCGTACAAAGTGCCGCGCAAATCGTTTATTTTTTTTCGTGATCGTAATTAATCGTGTTTTCGCGAGTGTCATGTGAATACAAGAGAAATAAAAGGACGACCAACAATAAGAGAGGAGGAGGAGGCCCGGGGAGGCATCAGGCAACAAAGGAGTAACCGTGAAGTAAATTTTAATTATTAAATACTTGACAATATTATTTTATTTTAAAATATTAAATAAATTATTTAAAATCATTAATATTTTTTAATATAAATATATTTTTTTTGGAATTACATTGCGCGTATTCAAAATTTTTAAATAACAGTTTGATCTTTAAGAAAACTTCTTTTCGTAAAACATTTGTAGCATTTATTTCAGCAAATAAAAATTGAATTATTAAAAATAGTTAAGAAATTGTGTGTGAATAAAAATTTAATTAATATTTAACGTAATTATTTTTTAAAATAATAATTGTTTTAGACACTGAGTTATAATTTGTTAATAATTGTATTTTACAGATCAAACATGTGCACTACAACTCCGCTGCTGCGCGTCGTATCGGTGAGTCTTAATTTATTCTTTAATGGGCTAATTTTATAAAAAAATATTATTTTAAAATTTAAGCAAATTTTAGCAGCTTAATGCTTTAAAGAAATTAATCGAGTTTCAAGTAAACTTTATACATATTTTTTGGAATATCATTCTTCTAATATAAAACCAAAGTGCATAGCGCGCGCTTGTGTTGATCTAGCCCATATAAAAGTTATGATTTTTTGTGTCACTTGAATCAAACTTCTGCGACTTCTCTTTATATATATGTGTTTCATCCAAATGCTTATAAAATATATGAAGGCTTATAAAAATTGCGAAATCTTATTCTATCGCATTTGATTATTCAGAGTTCGATAACTCTCTGTTAAGATATAAAGATTTCATATATTCGTTATTCGTTAAAATAATCGAAAAATGCTAGGTAAATTCCGATTTGAAAAAAAAAAAAAAAAAAAAAAAAACTACATAAAAAACAGATTACTGCAGAATTATGAAATAAATACATACAATTCTATACGTATGGTATCGATTTTCAATATGCCTGACACAATTCATGCCTAGAAAATTCGGATATAAAATATTTTATATTTTGACAGATATATATCTCTAATTTACAATGGATTTGTGGCACAAATCTGTTATTTGTTCTCCAAACGTCTCAATTACCGCATTGTCGCGGATTTGAAAAATTTCGTTGTTGATTCGCAAATGATTCGCGCGTCAATGTTAACCCTCCCACCCCCTCAACTCTGTAAACATTAGTTATATTTAATAACTGGGAGCAATCACGTTGTTCGCGCGCGTATAACGCAAACCGGGCATTTAAAGTGTGCCGTAAAGCCGTCGGGCCATTAGTTAAAAGCTTTTACGGTTTTGGTCGCGCCTAACGGCCCCGAGCAAAATTTATCGAGCGGATATGACGTAGGAAAAGGGAAAAAAGGGGAGAGGAAGGGGAAATGGTGCGTTGTACGTACTAATATCCCGTCTTTCATGGAAAAGGGTAAAAAGAGAGAGAAAGAGATCAGAAGGCTGCAGGTAGATAATTTAATGGCTCGCGAGATGATATACGAATTGGTTCCTTTTTTTTGCAGAGGGTGGAGTAGAAAAAAAGACGTTCGCTCTCGCGATACATTGCCGCTTTTCCCGTCGACCGAATTCTCGGGGCGTTTCTTCGTACCCTTTTGCCGATGCGAAACGAACAACGCGCATCGCATAACCGATCGCGCGCTATATCGATCGAATCTCCCGAGCAGAAAGCAGTTTTCAACGGCACTTCTCCACGGTAACGCGTTACAAGTTTCCGTAAATACGATTTTCGGCCGTGACGTAAATTTTATGGACTTCCGCGTTGCGCTTCGCAACCGGAATAAGAACTTATTACGAGACGTTCTTGTCGGACATCCGCGCGAACTCTTTTATAAGTGTATATAAAAGTTGTATTTTTTGTGAACATGCCACTTGCAGCTTTCGAAATTCAACCATTTTTCAAGGTATCTATGCACCCACCTTCTTCCTCATATCGGTGCCTTGAAATTTAAAGTCGCTATTGCTATTCATATCTCTTTCATACATTTAAGATTTTAATATTGCTATACATATTTTAATGATATTTATATGTACAGAAAGAATTTTTTTTTAATTTACCCTGAAAATCATGGTAATCGTGAAACAATATGGTATTGAAAATTCTTACAAAAATTCTTCTGATTAAAACTTACCACAGAAAAAATATTAATATGCGTACATAGTAAACTTCACTATATGTATTACATGTAATACATAATAAAATTAATCGAACTTATTTTCTATCTTATTGTAGTAAATATTTAAAATGAGAGAAACTCTTATATAAAAGTCTTCCAATATCATATATTATCTCATAATCACTATGATTATCATATAGCTAATTATTTAGACATGATAACTAAATTTCAGGAGTAATACATTTGCTGCGCTCAGCTTTTTTTTTTTTTACGTAAGATACTCAAAGTATAGAGAGTCTGTTATAAAATATAACATATAGAGCCGATTACAAAGAAGAGAATACTTCAGTATTCTCCTACGCAGCGATAATAAAATTTCCGCTTGCGCGCGGAACGATTAAATTTGCGAATGCTCCGCTTTGCGCTGCGAGGTCCGCTCGTTCGTGCGAAACAGGCCACGTGTTTTCCGCGGGGGTTAACGTCAACCTTCGCAGCGATGATTGCGAAAGTCCGACTAGAAGAACCCAGAGAGGTGGCTGTCCGTCGTCGTCGACGAGACTTCGGCTCCCTCGGGCGTGCTGCTCGACATTGCGAGGCGAGCCTCTATCTTCTTTCTCTCGCTCTCCCTGGGTTTATCACGGGACAGAAGCGCCGAGATAACTTAATGGAAAACTGCGAATTACAAAGCGCTTCCCGGCAACGAGGGGCCGATATTCCGCCCCGTCTCGCGAACGGAGAGGAAACACTTCATCCAAGGCGAGCTGCTCTCTTCATTTACGTGAAATACCGGCTCTTGCCATACATCTTTTATCCCCCAACTGCATCGCAATGAAGGGTGTGCAGCAGCACCCTCGGATCCTGATGCTGCGTCGTAAAGGAGCCGGGACGACTTCTTAATGAACCTCTTGAGCGGAAAGTATAGTAGTTCGTTCTTTTTACAATCTGCTTATTATCCGCTTTTTACCGCGCAAATGCGACATCGGATGAGGTAGTTGAGAGGCAAATTCGGAGATTCTTTTTATTTTTTATTTTTCTTCGCTTCTCTTTCTTCTACACCGACTTGCGCAGCAATCCGCCCTTGAATAGGTACATAATCGGCGTCCCGATAATTCTCTTTCATCTGATAAAACCGGGTTACTTTGTAACAGAATGCATAATTTAATCGGTATCCATTGAAAAAACTCGACGGAAAAAGCAGAATCTTCCCGATCAGATAAATTCAAAGAAATTTCACGAAGGTATAGTTCTGTTATAAACTAATCGGTTTACCGCGGAAACACGAGCATTAACGGATAAATTGATATATGAATTCGCGGAGGGAATGTCAGACCCTATTATACCTTTATTTCATCAGCGACGACAAAGAAGAAGAATAGCAAGAAAAACTTTCGTTTCTTATCGAGCGCGTGCTATACTTCTACTAAAGATACAACCAAAAAACGAATACTGTTGCTTCCGCGGATAATATCATCAACGATGAATTGGACGATGAACGAGAAAAGAAACACGGTGACACGTCGCCTAAAATTTTTCGAAACGAAACCCTCGGAGAGAAAGCAAAAGGAAGAGATATAGGTCGACAAGAAATTTGGGCAAGCAACAGGGTGTCTAGCTGTCAAAGAAATCTGGAAAACCGGGCATTGTCAGGGAATTTTATAAACCTGGAATTGTGAGGGAAAAGTCAGGAAATTTTACTATTTATCTGGATTTTTTCACATTATTCTACATTTGCCTCAATATTTTGAAATTTTTATTAAATAAATATAAACTTTTCCTTGACTTCCAGCACGCTAATTTTTCTGTGTTATCAAAAATCGATTCCTCTACAGCGTGTGCGTTAATTTATATTTTCATCGTCGTGTTATTTTATTTCAATGTATTATATATTTTAAAATATATTATAACATCGCTCAAGAATTATAATATTGTTTAAGAACTTTATTTTAATTCATTTTTTTATTCAAAATTAATACATTAATTTTATTAAAAATGTTTTGTTTAAAAGTTTGATTCATCACAAAAATTGATTCATCTACAGCGTGTTCATTCATTTATATTTTCATCGTCGTGTTATTTTATTTCAATATGTTTGATAGAGACAAAACTAAAAAAATTGATAAAATAAAAAAGATAATGCAGATTGTATAACTGATTTAAATTTATGTTTTTTTAACTTCCGAACCTTTTCATTGTTGATATATAAAATATCTCGAGGATTGCATGATTTAACATTTAATTGATTTATCATATAGATATATATACTCAAATTATATATTTGGAAAAATAATACGAAAAAATGAGGGAAGAAATTAATTTCTGGTCTTGGAAAATCCGAAAAAGCCAGGGAATTTTTTTCATTGAACCTGCTGGACACTCTGATGTAAAGGTATCCCTTCGCGAAACATTTACTCGCTCTATAACGCGTATTAATGACTCACCTGTGGCTGCGGAACGCACGTTAGATCTATAATATCGCCTAGCAGGTCAGGATCCACGACCCTGATACCCGGCAGGATGGTGGAGCCAACCGGGGTGTCCTCTTCGGCAACCGCCTCGTACGGTACACCCAGGAAGTGCGGCGGATTGTCATTCTCATCCAGCACGATCACGTACGCGTCCACGCCGACGATGTTTGGCTGCTGCCCGGCGGGCACCTCGTCCTCCAGAGTAACCCGAAAACGTATTGTGTCGTTCTCCTGGAGAGAAAAGAGAGATAGAGCGCGTGATTAAATGATCCTATATATTTTAGAGGCCGTAATATGTCGCGTCATTTTAGTTCGCGATTCTGAGTTTGAGAGAGGATTAACACTCGACGCCATTAACTTCGTACATAAGAGTTAATGCCGGCAGCTTTTAGTTTTAAGCTTGAAAATGTTGCCGGTACTTTCAACTTTTTACAATGCGCACGCAGCAAAAGTTTCGTGTATATAAATTAAACTATAATATTAATATAATTTAAATTATTCTGTATGTATTTTTTTCTACTGTCTTTCTTAATTGTATTTTAAGAATTTAGAGCCAGAGCTAGGATAAATTAGAGATAAGAAGAGGGATTAAATGGTTCAGAATTTAATTCCCCATTCGTTAATTTAAACGATCTTATATAAATAACTTACAATTAGTCCACTCTTCGTTTAACTAAATCTTTAAGATTTATCTCTTGCAATTACTAATATTTTATACAAAATCAGATATGAAAAGGACTAATAAGAGCCAGTCACAGACTAATAAAATTACTTTTAAGAAGAATTTAAAAACAATTTATCGCGCATCTGCCTCTTATTAATCCTTTTCATACTTGATTGTATATTTATACATCAGAGTCTTTTCAATTTATTATTTCGATATTTTATATCATATATTTTGTATCACAACTTGGATATCGCGCATATATACATGCATACATATGTGTCGCGCACGTACGCGATCTTGGACGTGCGTTGGGATCGAGAGTTCCCTCTTGTATAGCGCCAGGAATTTTACTGTGTCCCTTATTCGAAGCCCTCTTATATAGGAACCTTATAGAATGCGGGTCAAACGTGACGCCTCGATTCGTACGTGCCAGAGAGCTTGGTCATTTTACGAGATCGATCATTTGCGAACGAGTCTTCCAAAGTGCCCTTCCTGGACATCTCGGAGACTTTTCTCCCCTATGACGTATAGGAAATCGAAAGTTGTCGCGGCAAGTGTGGTAAACGCCCGACTTTACTGGCGGATTTGTGCGATGGCAGCTTCGCGTTGTGTACAGGAAGAAGGGAACAAATCCGTTTTTCTCGCGAATTTCGAGATGCGCTCTCTTGCTTTCCGTGTGTGTGTTAAAATCTTCCTCGAAAAAATTCAACGTTTGATGAATGAAAATTTATTTTTATGTATTTTTATCGTAGAAACGTGTCGCGTGTTCATTTTCCGGATAAATAAGTATTATATATTATAGAGGATATAAGTATTATATTAAGTTGGAACATTTCCAAGTTTGTCCGAATATATACAGAGATCTCGAGATTCTCATTTGAAAAGAGGTAAAAAAAAAAGCCAAGTTTTGATATTGAAAAAGCAGTTCGAGTTTAATATTGAAAAGCAGTCTGCATCTGACCAACTTTTGGAAAGTTTCGCTTACAAAATTTCGAATCTTCGTGCAAAGTTTGTCGAAAAATAACGAAAAGAAAAGGCAAACTTTGAAAGGAAGGGAGAATTTTCTTATATATATAGAACAATAATAGTATTTCCATAATAATGTCTGATGAGCAAAGTGTCACACAAAAATTAAGAATTTAGCACACAATCTCGTTTTTTAATTTAAATAATATATCTCAAAATTACGGGAAATGGAATTAACGTAAAATAAACGACTGCAGTAACTCGTAGAAATAATATCGCGATGCTCAGAAAAGTTCGGGCGTTTAAAAAAAAAGGCTGCGAAGCGGCGTTTTCAGAGTAGATCTACAGAAAGGTTGAAAGTTTGAAAGAGATGGAAAAGAGAACAGAAAACAGCATCGGGGGGTTTAGTAGTAGCTAACGAGGTCGAGGGTAAAAAGAGACGGCGTGTTCAAAGTTCTTTCCAAGTGTGTGCGTGTACCCAATTGCGCATGCATTAGAATATATACATATTTGAACGGTAGATAGTCTCCCAAAGGCGTCACGGCAATGCGGAACAATAATAATGGCGAGTTGAATTTATTCCGTAACATATTGTAGCGCAAATGTGAATTCTCGCGTGAGAAACTGATCTTTTTGCTTACCGATTTGAATAAATGAAGGGGGTTAAAATCTTTTATTTAACGTTTAAAAGAAATTCGTTTATTAGACAAATTCCTTAAATAACTCGCTACGCGCGTAATAATCGGACGATATTGATTTTATATCGAATCACGAGAATTTGCATGATGAACAAACATCACAAGAGATCAGGATGTAATAATTGGGGTGATTAACAACAATAATACGCGAGTTGTAACGCATTTGATAATATACTGTAATGTATTGTATATAGAATCGACATATCATATCCGTCATATTCCAGTATAATTATAGTGTCGGACGTCGAAAATTTCCAGTGAAACAGCTAATGACGCATGTACAGTAATCACGTAGATAATAGTATAGAGTTGATAATATTCGTAAAATCGTTTGCACGAACAATTCGGCCGAAAGAGAGAGAGGAGAGAGAATACGAGACACATTTCGTATTCATTTATTTTCGCTTCTAATCGCATTGATTTCGCGAAAACTCAATGCATAATCCATGACATGTGTGGAACATACATCATGCATTTTCATACTATAATTATAACTTTCCGATAAGAGACTTCACTTGCACGAATCTAGAATTGAACTGAAATATTTTGTTCTCTCAAAACTATATCATTAAATGAATGTCAATAAATTATATATTTATTTCGAATACACGAATAAAGATAACGAAAAACTGATATAAATTCAAATATAATTCATATAATATTCATATCTGCTCTACAAAACTGAAGACGAGATATGCAGATTGCATATTGTTGGTATTATATCATTGCGGTTCAGTTATCAAAAAAGTAACAAAAAAAATAGTAGAAAATAAAATCAGCTTTACATTACTAATATTAGCAATTTTGTGTGTACTTTCATTAAATTTTAATAAAATATTGATTTATATAAATATTATCATATTTTAATAATAAATTTTCTGCAACAATCTTGTAAATTATAAATGAAACATGAACGTTGTTATAATATTGCGTTATTTATATTAGATTACTTCTCGTTTTTCAGTTATGTAGTATAATAATTTAAATATATTTTAATATATACCACATATATCATATTGAATAAATATTCAGAGTGTCTAGCGGTCAGGGAAATCTGGAAAACCGGGCATTGTCAGGGAATTTTATAAATCTGGAATTGTCAGGGAAAAGTCAGAAAATTTTACTATTTATCTGGATTTTTTCACATTATTCTACATTTGTCTCAATAATTTGAAATTTTTTATTAAATAAATATAAACTTTTCCTTGACTCTCAGCACGCTAATTTTCTGTGTCAAAAATCGATTCATCTACAATGCGTGTTCATTAATTTATATTTTTATCGTCGAGTTATTTTATTTCAATGTATTTAATAGAGATAAAACTAAAAAATTTGATATAATAAAATAAAAAAGGTGATTATTTAAATAGTTTATAGTGACATGTTTGTTTCGATTACCGTACCTAATGCAGATTGTATAATTGATTAAAATTTTTGTTTTAACTTCCGAATCTTTTCATTGTTGTTGACAAAATATCTCAAGGATTTCATGATTTAACATTTAATTCATTTATCATATAGATATATACAAATTATATATTTGAAAAAATAATACTAAAAAGTCAGGGAATTTTTTTCATTGAATCTGCTGGACACCCTGATTTCTAATGGAAAAATACAAAATTCAAAGAAACAATTTGTTTTTAAGAGCATCTCAAATACATCTCCAATTCAAATCGGGATGACGCACGTCTACGAGATCTTAGCGCGATTCGATTGACTGTGTCGCGTTATGAAACTTCGCGAAAGATAATAAATTGAATTTCGATCTCGCGTCGAATACGAATCCAACCGAGGGATACTATCGGTGAAGAATGCACAGGTGAAGTTTTCGCGCAAAAATATCATCTCTTTTGGTTCGGATAATGTCGCACGTAAAACGCCTTCATAAATTTTTCGCGACCGTGCCGGATGTTCGTCGTAAATGCGGACTGTGTGAAACGCGATGCTCGCAAAATTGCGCGGCCAGTTCTAGATATCAACAGCGAGCCATTGCGTGGATAAGAGGTCGTGCAGGATGGTGAATCGGAATGAAACTGCGAGTTTCATTCCGCGTCCATCTCCGCGAGCCGCAAAATCGGGCGGAAAATTTTCAACTCCGAAGCCGGTTGGGTCGAATGTAAAGAATGACGGTGTTATTATCGTTCGAAATTACTTAAAAAAGTGACCTACTTCTCCATCGGAATATCCAACGAAATTTGTGAGAAATATTCCCCCGAATTCGCTCTGATATCAATAATCGTATTCTACAATCGCGATTCGATTTGTGTCTCATAAGTTTAAATCATCGATTTGAGTAGTCATAATAATTCATAAAGTCACTGTATTTAATTATGTTGATAATCATGTAAGACTAAATATGAGGGTCTTGAAGAGTTTTTCAGAGTTTCGATTTTATTAAACTATACTATAATAAATGAATCAATGTCGCACTTTTTTAAGAGAGAGAGAGAGAGAGAGAGAGGAATTATTTAAAAAAATTTTCAATTAATTGATTAACACAAAGATAGGCATAAAAATATTCTATTGCAATATCTTATCACTATTTCTATGTCAATAGCAATTTTCTAAAATAAACAAATTTTCCAAAACTTTTTCTATATCCAAAACTTATATTTTTTTTACGTAAAGTAATATAATAAAATAAATTTTTGATATAAAGTTACATTTAACTGTGATAAAATATATTTTCACCATGCTACGTATTAAATATTATTACGTGATATTTTATATCAATAAAGGGAAGTGATGATTGATATAATGGCTCATACTGAAGAAAATAATAGCAACGAGATACTGGTTTAGAAAGAGAAGCGGGTAATTGAAATGGTTGGTCGCTGCCAAAGTTGCCTGTTTCTATTTCGTTTGGCTGACGTCTTCCGTATTTTCGCGTGCCTTTG